ACCACTTTCCTGCCCAACACCCTGCACCCAGGCGCAGGAGGGGCCTGCAGAAGGCGGGAGCCCTGGGGTTATGTGTCCTCCCCGGGTGTTTGAGTGTTGGCCCTGAGCTGGGAGCCCCCAGCTGCCTGCCCCAGCTCCAGGGTGCGGCCAGCTCTGCAGTGCAGTGGCCTGTACCGAGCCGTATCACGCGGTACTCACTGAGCCGCACACAGGGCGTAATGGAGACGAAGGACATGATGCCGCAGAGGCTGCCGTTAATGGTGAGCAGCACCTTGTTGAGGAGGCAGGCGGATGGGTGGGTGTAGTACTTGTAGAGGAAGGAGAAAGCGGCGGAGGCAAGGGTGTAGAAGGTGGCCGTGGCCAGCAGCACGGCCAGGTACCAGCGTTTGTCCTGCGCAGCACCCGTCAGCCTGCCAGGAGAGTGGGTGAGAGCCGGCAGCAGGCAGGTGCCCGCCCGGCACCCTGACACTCACCAGTTCTTGTTCCAGGTGTGTGCGAAAGCCGTGATCAGCACCAGCTGTATGAGGATGAAGGCAAAGCCCCCGCAGACGCCCGTGTAGTGCCAGGCTGGGGGGGGAGGGCAGAGGTGGGGCTGGCACCGGGGGCACGTTGGGGCCTGGGATGCCAGCTTTTGTGGGGTGGGGGACACACCTTGAATGAAGCCATCCTCGGGGATGAAGAAGCTGGCAACCCAGAGCCCCACCAGCACCAGCAGCTTCAGGAACCAGAACCTGCAGGGCAGTGAGTGTCAGAGGGACAGGGCTCCCAGCAGCTCCCCAGCAGCCCCCCCAGCCCTGTGCTCCATCCCTGTACCCGTTGTGGAGCTGAGCGCGGCAGTCGGTGCTGGAGCGCACGTTGAGGAGCAGGGCAGCCTGTGCCAGGTGGAAGCAGGCGGTGCCGAAGCAGACCCGGTACACAGCCGAGGAGCCCACCAGTTGCTCGCAGTCTGTGCCCCCGGGCAGGTGGTTGCACAGCACCACCCAGAAGGGCAGCTGCAGGCACAGAGAGCGAAGGGACAGGGCTGCTGATGGGCCCAGCACCCTTAGGATCCAGCGCCCTTGAACTCCTGACCCTCCAGCATTCCCAATACCTTCTCCACCCCCAATACCTCTGAGACCCCCAGCACCCCAATGCTGGGCAAGTCTCGCACCTTCAGTACCCCTGGCACTGCTCCCTCCTTGGTGCTCCCAGCAACCTTGGCACTCCCAGCAGCCCTGTTACTCCTAGTATCCCCAACACCCCAGTTCTCTCAGCTCCCCGGCAATTCTGGCACCTCTAGTGCTCCTGGGACCCCTAAATGTCGTGGGGATGCCTGGCACCCCAGCACCCTCAGTGCCCCTGGGACCCCCAGCACCTCAGGACCCTGCGTGTCCCAGCTCCCACCATCACCTTCTCCTTGATGGCCTGGGCCACAGTGCGGGACAGCATGAGGCAGCACACGGCAGAGGCCAGGACGTGCAGGAGAGTGTAGAGGATGCGGGTGCCCGTGGACAGGCGGAGCCCGCGGCAGGATCTGCAGCCACAGCAGCAGCACAACTGGGGGGGGAGCATGGTCAGGGGGGGTCCCACCGGGCCAGAGCTGCTTCCCAGCCTGGCCTGTCACCCCCAGCCCGGTCCAGCCCCATCCCCAGACCCATCAGTCCCCTCAGTCCCACCTGGCAGAGCAGCGAGTGCAGGAGGCGGCCCTGTGTCCGTGTGCCCGCCATGGCCCGGCTCAGCTCAGCTCGGCCCCCGCTGCCCTGACCGGATTAGGGGGATTGTCGGCTCGGCCCGCCCCGCCATCTGCTCGCTGCTACCGACCGGCAGCCCCTCTTGGGGCGCTCTGCCGGGGGCCTGTCCAGGGTCCACCGGTGACTGCCGGCCATGAGGATCCCTGCCTGGGACCCCAGCCCCTCACCTGGGCAAGATGAGGCCACGGCAATCAGCCTGGGCACGGGCTGGTGTGGTGGGTGTGTGGGGTCCATGGGATGCTGGCCCCTGTATGGCGACGGCTCATCCCAGAGCAGTGTGGCTGGGGGACGTGGGGGTACCATCGTGTTTGGGCTCCCTCAGCATCAAGGCTCCCTTTGCCCTTTCTCCCCCGGAGCGAGGAGGCCCAGGGGGGCAGGACACTGGAGAGGACAGAGCCAGGACAGGTGACCCCAGCAGTCGGAGGGATGCTCTGTGTCTCAGTGTCATGCTCGGCAGCAAGGCTGGAGGCAGAGGCCTTCCTCTACCAGTGTGGCTGTTGCTTGGAGACTGGCTGGGCACCCGGCTGCTGGTGGGAGGCGACAAGCGGCTGCCTTCACAGCTCTGGGGTTTGTTTTATTTTTCCCCTTTCTTTCACAGGTTAAAGTGTTTTTCTCTCAACTCACAACTTTATTTTTGCTTTTGTGCTTTCTGTTTTCTCCCCGTCCCGCTGCAGGGGGAGTATGTGTGGGTGCTTGGATGCTGGCTGGGGCCAGCTCACCACAGTCCCCCAGGGGACATCTTGGGCGGGCTCACCCCCACATAACGTCCCTGTACTGGGAGCAGGGGAGCCGGGGGGGCCAAAGGGCCCCAGAGGCTGCCACAGAGGAGGGTCAGTGCGTGGTACAGCAGGCACAGGAGATGGAGGAGCTGGCACCAGGTCCAGGGCACGAGGTCGCTCTTGGGGCAGGTTTCTGTTGGACTCCCTGGTGTGGCACAGTCACAGGCACACGCAGGCACTGTGGGGACAGGGCAGGGCACAGGCTGCCGAGGTGCGGCAGGGCCGGTGCAAGGCCCTGGCACCCACCTGGACAGCTGTCAGCCGAGTTGGCCCCGTGCAGAGCGCCCAGCTGCCTGGCAGGGCTAGTGAGCCGGGCACGACCAGACCCCGGGGTGAAGTGCTGCAGGCTCAGTGCTCCTGCCCCCGTCCTGCTCCCCAGTGTCCGCCTGGGACTGCAGCCACTGCCTTTGCCCCACCGGGCAGAGCGGCCGTGTCGGCTCTCCAGCCTCAGCCCCCGCGATGAGCCCGCAGCTCCTCACACTGGGGTCTGCAGGCCTCACATCTCCCCACGTCTCCAGCCTGGGCACCCGGCCCTGCCGAGCAGGCACAGAGCTGCCACCATAGTTCGGCCCCCCAGCATCACGGGCCCACGGCAGCTTCCAGACAGCACCAGGGGTGCCGAGGTGGCCCTGGCAGCTGCGTGGCCGTGCCCGGCAGGACCCCGCGCCCATCTGAGCACCTGCTGCCCCACAGCCACCCCCGGAGGGACACGTCCCCCTGCCACACGCCTGGGTCAGCCCAAGGTTTTGCCTTCGCAGGCAGCGCCCCGGCTCCCGCCCCGGCGGCTGAGCTCGGAGCAGCGCGGGGACCTGCGCGGGAAGGGCTCCCCGCCCGCAGCACCCCGAGCCGCCCCGAGCGGGGCGCAGCC